TATTTTACCATAAATGGCGTGCAAATCTTCTATTTTATTTACAATAATTTTATTTACTAAGATTTTGGGTATAAAACATCTGATCTTATAAATTAAAAGTACCTTACAAAATCTACTTAGGTCAAGCGTACAAATATTGAAAATAAAAATTACAATGATTTAGTTTTAAAACTTTTTGTAGCATTTAAACATTACGAAATAATATAATAATAAAATAACATTAATTAAAATATTAAGGATAATACAATTAAATTTATTCAGTCGATTAGTTTAAATAGTAAAAATAAATAAAAATTGGATATCAGACGGTTAACAATAAAAATGAGATGTACTAATAAAATTTTAAATTTTAAATTATTGTTGATTTTCAACCGACTTCCGAAAAAGGAGGTGCTCAATTTGATTGTATTTTTGTTTGTTTGTTACCTCAGAATCCGTCATTTATAAACCGATTTGGAAGTTTTATTTTAAGTCGCTTAATAATACAGTATGTACGATGAGATGTTTCATGCGTTAATTTTAATTATAATTGTGAGTTTACATGTAAATTTTACCATTGGGGGGGGGGGGGGAGCGAGCCAGGAGTTGCTACGACGACGAGTAGTAGGACGACCAGACCACGACAACACCACGCCGGCATACACAGACCAACAGTGTATGCCGGCTGCAAATCCAGCGACCCGGAGGTCGTCGCCTCCGGAGTAGAAGCCGGAGTAAAAGGGTACGTCCCGAGGCCCCTACCTCGCCCGCCCACACATTATTTGGCGGGCAAGGAGAAGACCCTGTTGTTGTAGAACGACCCCCACTAGATAGAGCAATGCATTGCAGGGAGTCAGCGGATGCAGGTGGCGCAGGACCGTTCCTTATGGCAGTCTATGGGGGAGGCTTATGTCCAGCAGTGGACGCATAATGGCTGAAATGATGATGATGTAAGATTTGCTTAGACAGATTTTGTTTTGTTATTTGCTTCGTTTTGAAAAATGTCAGCTGTAATCTTCACAAAACCATATCGAATATAAAAATCGTCGATAATCGTGTAATATCGTCACCAAAAAAAAAAAAAATCCGGATGAATCGAGGACCTTCTTTTTTAAAGTCATTAAATACACATACAATTGTGCATCAACTTTTTTACAAACTCAATATTTATGTAAAGAAAATAACAGCTGAGTTTCTTGGCTGCTCTTCTCAACTGAAATTGCATTCCAAAACTGTAGAATCAATAACGCCGGATCAGAGATTAATGCTCTACAAATCGCAAATCCGGCCCCACATGGAGTATTGCTGTCACTTATGGGCCGGAACACCTAAATACCAGCTTGAACCTCTCGATTCGTTGCAACGACCATAATAAAAATATGATAATAACAAAATAACTATTTAAAAATGCTTATAACTAAGTTTACATTAATAAAAAATAAATTTATTTATTATTTTTATGTGGTAGATATGTTGTTATTGTCATTCCAACTTCAGTGCACGACCCTTTCCGATTTCCGATACGGTTTCGAGCAAAAGGTTGTACCGTCACGCGTCACCGGCGGTCGGTGATCGGCGGCCGTTCGGCGAGGTTCGGCGCGACGCACGACGCGTGACCGCGAAAATCTGTACAAATAGCTTCACTAAATCCCTTACTAGCAGGGGTTGTTGCAGATGTAGAGTTTTACTGGAATGTTCCAGCATTATCAGCAAACTGCGTGTGGTCCCCGCATAGAACGGGCCACCCCTTTCTTTCCTGTGGACGTCGTAAGAGGCGACTAAGGGATGACACAGGATGGGCAGCAGCGTCCCTCTTAAAACATTATCAAAACCTAACTGCGGTTGTCGACCCGCCTTCCAAGCGTGGCAACTAACAAAACTCCCCTTTTAATTTTTTTTTTATACCTCTGACGAGACATTTACATACAACATAGACAAACAGGGTTTTTTATGGGTGAAAATGGCATGGTAACCCCGCCTGTGCTATCAGCGTACGCTGGCGGGGCACCAGTGAGGGATGACAGGTGAAACTGAAAAAGCAGGTCAGTTTTTTTTTTATAATGGGTGATAATGGAATGGTAACCCCGCCTGCGCTATCGGTATACACCGACGGGGCACCAGTAAAAAATGATAAGGTGAGGATGAAGCAGGTCAGTTAGCCTATCATGAAGAATTCAACAAGAATTAGTCACGATAGTTTCCAGTGGAAAACACGTGGAGGTCGACCGGATAGGGTATATTACTAGCAATGTGACAGGTAGCCTACATTACTAACAATCCCTCCCCCCACCGCGTGGAGGTTGACCCGATAGGGTCTATTGATAGCAATGGGGACTAACCTCCCTATTACTGGGGGGAAAGGAATTGTTAGTAATGGGAACTGAGAATCCCATTGCTAGCAATATACCCAACCAGGTCGACCTCCTCGCGGTTCCATCTGGAAACTATCATGGCTAATTCCTGATGAATTAATTCATCATGATGGGCTAACTGGCCTGTTTTCATTCTCATCTATCACCCTTCATTGGTGCTCCGCCAGCGTATCCCGTTAGCACAGGCGGGGTTACCATACCATTTTCACCCATCAAAAAAAAAAACCTCCCTATTACTAACAATCCCGTCCCCCCAGAAATACAGGGTTAGGACAAGAACCAACAGCATTCTGAAAGTAATAGGCGAGAAATATAACTCGCCTATCGTTACGCATTTCATTCAGATGCTGTTCTAGTCGGTTGGCTCACAACAGAGTGAACTGCTTTAATTAAATGTTCACTTTAATTGCTTTTCTTTTTTTACTAACATAGTTTGTAAGGAAATTGTTACTAATAAAATGGTAGATAGATAGATAATTTATTTACATTACTTACAGCACACAAATTACAATAAAAACATACACATGATACACAGTAAAAGAGATAAAAGAATGAAAAACAAAAAAAGCAACAAAAAGAAAAAACAAAAAGCAAAATATATAAAATAACAATTTCCTTTTATTCCCTTCATGTGTGTGCCACAGTAATACAAAATGGTCACAACTCAGTTTATTGCTTTGCCCTCAAAAGAGCAAAACACTGATATTCTGTTGTGGCCAAGAGTCAGTCGCGAAATTCCTCATTTATGGACCAAATTGTAGTTTGAATAAATTTTTTTCATACAACTTAGAATGGCAAACAAGCTGACGGCCCACCTGATGAAAAGTGGTAGCCGTCGCCTATAGACATGAGCAGTACCATGGACATAACAGAGTATACTGTTTCGCCCATGATACCCCCCCATGCGTTGCCATTCCTGAGGACTCAGGTGTTTTTCCTGTGAACCCAGTAAATTCACGCCATATCCCTCCCTTCAAACCGAAACACAGCCATGCAAACACAACTGCTTCACGGTTGAAACACGAATAGGACAGAGGTACGCAAGCAATCGACTTTTGTACAAAGTCACCCTCTAGTATTTATATTAATATAATAAAGTATTTATATTATTATAGTGGCGGGGATTAGATAATATTATTTAATAAATATTTCACGTCTGTTTGTCCGTCCGTATGTTGTAGTAAACGGTCACTTCCAATTGTTATTTATATCTACGTGAACGCATCTCTCCCAAAATCACACTCATACACTTAAACGGATAAGACTGTTTGTCAATATTTGTCACCGGGTCGCGGTCAGAGTCAGAACGGACGAAATCTCTTACATACATCTAAGTGTATATACAGTGACATTCTTCTAATTGGATCATATTATACCAGAGGGTGACTTTGTACAAAAGTCGATTGCTTGAGTACTTCTGTCCCATTCGTGTTTCTATCGTGAAGCAGTTGTGTTTGCATGGCTGTGTTTCTATTTGAAGGGTGGGATATGGCGTGAATTTACTGGTTACGGAGGGATAACACCCGAGTCCTCAGGAATGGCAACGCTTGGGAGGTATCATGGGCGAAACAGTATACTCTGTTATGTCCACGGTACTGCTCATGCCTATAGGCGACGGTTACCACTGTCCATCAGGTGGTCTGTCAGCTTGTTTGCCATTCTAAGTTGTATAAAAAAAAAACTTTTGGTACTTCAGGTTATATTATATTTATATTATGTTTCACGGTTAAAACACGAGTAAGACAGAGGTACTTCTGTACAGTCTGCCTCTGTTGGAGAGAAGGGATTATTAGTAATGGGAACTACTAGCCCCATTGCTAACAACATACCCTGTCAAGTCCACCTCCACGTGGTCCCCCTTCGAAACAACCATGCTGAATTCTAGGTGTATTAATTACGATGGGCTAACTGGCCTGCGTTTTCATCCTCACCTATCATCCCTTACTGGTGCCCCGCCAGCGTATACCGTTACCGTACCAGAGATTCATCGTGGCATCGATTAAAAAATTTTATTGAACTCCCTTTAAACTTAACTTTGCTGGTTACTCTGTTTTAATCCTAGAATATTATATTTGCTCTTCTACAGTTAATTATTTGTTATAGTTTATTTTATGTATTTATTAATGTATATATATATATTTATTTATTTTACATACTTTGTGTGTGTTTATATTAGTCTTATTATACGTTTATAATATATGAATATATTATTACTTTATATTTCCTTAATTTATTAACGCATCGTCTACTTATTTCTCTGTTCGCCCAATACTTGACTGATATAGAACACCGTCCGGTGTTAAGTCCGCCAAATGTACGTAGAATTTCTTTGTGCACTAAACTTTTTTTTTTATACTACTGAGGTAGCAAACAAGCATACGGCCCACCTGATGGTAAGCGGTTACCGTAGCCTATGAACGCCTGCAATACCAGAGGTATTACGCGCGCGTTGCCGACCCTGAAGAAACCTTTTTACCCCCCTTTTGAAGAACCCCATGCTGTAGTCGTTTGGGAAAACCTCGGCACGGAGCTCATTCCATAACCTGAGTGTTCGTGGGAGAAAAAATTCCTGGAACCGCGTAAAACGCGGTTTTAGAGATGTTTATAAATAAATAACTTTAAATAAATAAATAACTCCCACTAATAATTTTACTTCTTACAATCTACATTGTCATCATATTTAACCATCTTAACGGATAGATCAAATAGCTGCCTCCCGAGTGCCCCTTTCACTCTCCAAGACATGGTACTTTGAGCGCAATCCACAAAATATTTACCAGTCACTTCCGCCCCTTCGTCAGTCACCGACAGATGTATAGTCGTCTGGGCACCTTCCACCGCACTCCTGTAGCAAAACCAGCACAAAAACCTGAAGCATATCCCATAAAGTGCGTTCACATTCCGGACTATACCGGTATCTACAATCCCAGGGTGAACAGCGTTGACCACAACTCCAGTTCCTTTCAAACGCCTCGCTAAATCCACAGTAAACAGTACGTTACAGAGCTTGCTGGTCATGTAACAATTTATATCAGTATTATACTTCTCATTTATAGTCCCCAAATTGATATTTGCCAGTAAATGCATTATAGAACTCGTGTTTATTATACGACTCGGCTGTTTCTTTAGTAAAGGTAGCAGAAGCAACGTGAGAAGAAATGGCCCGAAATGGTTGACTTGCAGGGCTTCAATTATCCCATCTTCCGTGTAATTATCTGAGTTACTGGTTACTCCAGCATTGTTTATCAGAACGTCTAACCTATCTTCTGTCTTTTTAACATCTTCGCAGAATTCTCTCACGGATTTCAATGACGCTAGATTTAGCAGCTTAAAGATGACTTTGTGGTTGGACGTTTCGGATATAATTCTGTCCCGGGCAAGATTGCCTTTCTCTTCACACCTGCAGGCGAGTATAACACGAGCTCCTTTCGCCGATAGTGCTTTTGCGACCTCGAATCCAATTCCTGTATTTCCTCCTGTAACTATTACAACCTTGCCTGCCATCGAAACATCTGTGACGCACATTTTTACATTAAGACGAAGGTATATCCGAAACAATAGAAGTATTGTTATGAAAATTATTATCAATACAAAACTCATGTTAATATAAACAATATAAAACCTAAAAATTGTTTCCTTGCAAGCAAATGTATGTAATCTTTTCGTTCACACCGATACTTTAAAACAAGTAAATGCAGTTATGTTCTTGTTTGGCTTATAATATGGAGAGAGGTCACCGGGTGGGGATATAGGCCGTGTATTTTATATTTTAAGGTCCATTAGTGAAATTAAAATATTAAAATGTCGAGTAAAACCTTGATTTAAAGTGCGGTTCAGCCGTCCGGTTTCGCAACAAGTAGTTTTTTGCTTCACAGAGAAATAAACGACAGCTTTATTTGTTGCAAATTTAAAATGAAATCAACACGAGAGTAAAGACTATCGTTTGAAAGTTGAATTTTGAAAATCCGTCCGGTATTGGCAATGTAATAGCGTAATATACCAGTACCTACGTGCACTATATACGATAATTGAAAATTATGTTCCACAAACAACAAAGCTAACTTCAACTGTAACAAACCAGTTATTATGATTTCAGAACTAAACTACTCAATGGATTTTGATAAAATTTCTACGGGACTAATCTGTAAGTATATCCTTTTAGATAAAAAAAGAATTTTCGAAATCGGTTTACAACTGACGGAGTTATGAGGTTTTTTTTTTAATGGGTGATAATGGAATGGTAACCCCGCCCGCGCTATTGGTATACGCTGGCGGGGCACCAGTGAGGGATGAAAGGTGAGTACAAAAGCAGGTCAGTTAGTCCATCGTGACGAATTGCACTAGAATTAACCACGATGGTTACCAGTGGGAACCGCGTGGAGATCGGCCTGTATTACTAGCAATGGGTCAGTTAGATCCCATTACTAACAATCTATTTCCTCCCAGAAATTATGAGGTAACAAACATAAAAGAAATACATCTAGACGAGTGGAGGTCCTCCACCGTGAGTTTTTCAAGACACTTTCTTCCATTCACAACCACTCTTTGGAATCAACTTCCAGCAGGAGTATTTCCGTACCGATACGACAACATAACCTTCAAGAAAAGAGCATATTCCTTTTTAAAAGGCCGGCAGCACACCTGCAACGCCTTTGGCGTTGTGGGCGATCATGGGCGGCGGTAGTCACTTACTATCAGGTGGGCCGCATGCTCGTTTGCCCCCTGTGTTGTAAAAAAAATACAGTCGACTTGAGAAGCTCCTATTATTATTGTATTATTAATAATATTAATATAAAAAAATGTTTAAGTTGAAAATAAAATTTTCTTTATCCAAAGAGGCTTGTTTACAAGCTCTTTTAAATCGTCATCCTTTATAATTTTACTGTTATGGAGGGTTACACCAGAGGGAGACTTTGTACAAAGTCGTTTGCTTAGATACCTCTGTCCCATTCGTGTTTCAACCGTGAAGCAGTTGTTTGCATGGGTGTTTCGGTTTGAAGGGTGGGATATGGCTGTGAATTTACAGGGTACAGAGGAATAACACCTGAGTCCTCAGGAATGGCAACGCATGGGGGGTATCATGGGCGAAACAGTATACTCTGTTATGTCCATGGTACTGCTCATGTCTATAGGCGACGGTGCTACTTTCCATCAGGTGGGCCGTCAGATTGTTTGCGATTCTATGTTGCATAAAAAAAAAGGTTCGGCGTATTATTATCAGCTAAGAAGACCTCCAATACAAAGTGAATGAGATTTGAGTGTACATTTTGAAGGTTATATCATAATAAGACCAGTCAACATGTAGTTGTCCGGATCCTACGCTGACCTAGGCCCATTTCTTATTGCAAAAGCTGTTTATTACGTTTTTGACATTACTCTACACTAATATATATAGATAATATAAAGAGGAAATATTTGTATTTTTGTGTGTATGTATGTTTGTAATGAATAAACTCAAAAACTACTTTGCCGATTTCAAAAATTCTTTCACCATTAGAAAGCTACATTCAATCTGAGTAACATAGGCTATATTTATTGCTAGAAAAGATTAGGGATCCCTACTAGAACTTTAGTAACGTAACTGAAGGTGTAAAAAATGCTATAAAATATGTTTGGTCGCGTGCGCTGCGGAAGCTATTGGTGATAAAACAAAAGTATGTTCTACAATATTGAAGAAAATATCAATGACTACAAAAAACGTCGCGATACTATATGTCCAACTATTATCGTTATGTTACAATAACCACTTTTTAAAATGTTGTAAAAATGTCATTCCGTGCGAAGCCGGATTTTTTTCGAATAAATATATATATATTCATATATATATATATATATATATATATATATATATATATAATAATTAATTAAAAAAAAATGCTTGACTAGGAAAAATAACTGGCAACTTACTACAATTTATTACGTACTAAAAATTTAGCAACTGTTTTTTCTTTTATGTGTGAAAACGGAATAGTAACTTCGCCTGCGCTATCGGTATACGCTGGCGAGGCACCAGTGTGAGACGATATCACCTATTATGAATGATGAAAACAGGTCAATCAGTACACCCCCCCCCCCCCCCTATGGAAGAAATCTATAATTATCACCGTCACAATCAGAATTTGAATTAACACAATCGGACGCTAGCAAATGATAAAAAAAAATATATTGTAAAATTGAGCGGAAAGATTTTCATAGTGAAGCAAGTGAAATAAAAGCTTGTAAATCTTATGATTCTAACTATATATATATATATATATATATATATATATATATATATATATATATATATATATATATATATACATATATATATATATACATATAGAGACAGGCGTGACAGATATGTATGTACTCGGTTAACCAATATAATATATAATATTTATATATATTATATTGGTTAACCGAGTTTTTGCAATGGATCGTTCATTTAGCAATGCATGTCTAAATTATTAACATCACAATGCGTTTATTGGCTGCATTTACTGTTGTTCGTTTTAGATTCTATTAATTTTTCAAGCTATGTTTTGCAGGATACAGTATATCATTCTAAATAGTAATATATATATATACATCATCCATAATTAGTGGTGTGTGTAGACCTCAAAATCCAGTTAGTGAAGTACGAGACGTTAGTAAATATAGCCAGTTTCACATCACAATCCCTCGGCTTCACCGCCAGCACCCCCACCACTTTGTCTCCAGTGAAAATCGGTCCAAACTCGTGGACGAAGCAATCCTCGTACTCCGTCATATCGACACATAGCAGCGACTCGTCTAGCTCCATTCCGTAACTCTCAAAACATCTGTCGTTCGTCGCTAGGGACACGTCGAATTGGCCAATGTCATTTGTCAGATACATTCTCTTATCCATTGTAGATACAGTCTTCCAAACGCTCGCTTCCACGTCAGTAACAAGTTTGTCGTTTATCACCGCTGATTTCATCGTGAAAGGATAGGAGTCTACATTCAATTTTGCAACGGCTATATCGTATTTTGGGGTCAGATTGCTACTGTTAAATTTCTCGTGTAATCGCCAGATTAAGATGGGATACGTATGGATATAATTCCTTGTGAAATCATGGTATAAGAGTACGCGGTGAGTCGCGCCCGGTTTCCTACAGTGGGCCGAGGTGACGATCCACTTCACTAGTATGACACTAGCGAAACAGGCAAAGGACCAAGTGGACGACGAGTTTCTGGTCACGGCAGCTACGTACGGAAACCTCTCGGCGATTGACAGAGAATAATTGTTTTCCAACGCAATAATACCCATTGATTTCGCCAAACTGTGAATCCTACCTCCGCGCAAGTAGTCCCTCTTTTTCTCTTCAACGTTGATCTCCGTCGCGAACTTGACCATCACACATACAGCCATGATTGCGATCACGATGATACCTGATAGAATAATGCAGGCTGGCTTCATTTAAAACGTTTAATATTCGATTGTATTCTTCGATTGACAACCACTTCGGAGATGTGGTATCTAACAGGGCGGAGTTTTTTTTTTTTCAATAGAAAAATGGCGGGAAAACTTCTGTTCTGTTTACTTTTATTTCAAAATCTCAATTAATTAATATAAATAAAAATATGTACTTCTATGTTTACAGTCCTCGTTCTAAGCTCGGAATAGTGACATTTGAAATGTCAATTTTGACATTTTATTTTTTAATTAATCTCATCTTTGATAAAGTTCTGTGTTCTAATTTCACAATGTAATATATATTGTCTCTGCATTATGTATTATATGAATTTATACATTTAATACTTTAAAAACCAGTAGCATAATGTGGTTATTTTTATTACTGATTAAAGATTATGTCCGACAGAAAAACCGATTTCAAATGTGACAAAACCAGTTTTTTTGGTCTAAAAATTAAACTGTTGAATCTATTTTGATAAAATTTCTATAGAAGCAATCTGTAAATATATCCTTTTAAGTAATATGCACGACGCACCTTTTTAGTTTCTTTTTTAATTTTATTAAAAAGATGTTTTGTTTATAATTTGAAGTCTGTGTGTCAGTTTTAATTTTGTTTCGTTCGCTTTTTTGCTCCGTTGGTTTGCTTTGTATATTTTTTATATAATTATATTATTTTTCTAGAACACCGTGTTTCCATACCAGCATACAGTCCTTTCGCCCACAGATAAAAAATAATTTCTCAATGCGGTTTAGAATGACAGAGTTATGTGGTAACAAACATAAAAAAAAATGTAACCGTATCAAGAACCTCCTTCTTTTTCATGTCGATTAAAAGAGAAATAACCACCAATTAATTAATCAATATATACATACATACATATCTGTCACGCCTGTCTCCCATTAGGGTAGGCAGAAACAATGGAACGCCAAATGCTTCGATTCAAACAAACCTCTTTCGCTTCTTCCGTATTCATCAATCTTTTCATACACGCTCGCCGGTTACGGGAACTTTTAATTCGGCCCTTCTTCAGCACGTCGCCTATTTGGTCAACATACGTCCGTCTAGGGCGGCCCCTACCGACATCTCCATTTATTCTTACTCGATAAATCTCTTGCGTAATTCTTCTTTCTTTAATTAATCAATTCCTCTTATTAAATAGAAACTCTTTTGTGTAGTCGCTACGATATAATAGTCACACCTACACAGGAATTAGAGATTTCATATTTATAAGATCGCCCTTTTTACGTCGCATATTAAAAACAGCTACATCCACCACGGCTCACAGATTAATGTACTGAACGTACCCACAAGACATAATAATAACGACCCTATGTTAATAGAGATCAGCATTGTGTAAGTACATTAAAAAGACACAATACAATCGGTCAATTTCGACACACTTCCGTTCCGGTTGCGTACAAAACGCGCGGATAGTAAAAACCTCAAATACAGCTTCTGATGGGGTGGTAAGCATACGGCACGCCTTTTAAATATTCTGTATTCGACTACTATACTATTCCTCGCCCTCCCTTAGTCTTACGACTATAAATAAATAAATAAATAAATAAAAAACTACCATACCATTATCATCTATTAAAGAGAAAAAAAAAATGTGTAATTGTATATATATATATATATATATATATATATATATATATATATATATATATATATATATATATATATATATATATATATATATATATATATATATATATATATATAATAAATGTAAATTATGTAGTTCCAAAAATAAACTGAATCCTAAAAATCATAGGTGTGTAAAGAACTAAAGATGCTCGTTACTTAAACGACTGAAATCACGCGAGCAAATCCGCGAAACAAAACTAGCAACAGAAACCAATACTTCGTCACAATAAACAAGTGTCCGATATCTTGGTAACTACATCTAAATCCCCAGAGCAAACTTTCTTTCGACATCCGATCTGATATCGTGTGTAGACACTAAATGGACTCGCGGCCAACTTTACCTAATTAATGGGTCCATAAATTGGCCAGCGAGGGTGGGAGTGGGGGCAGTGACCCGAGCTGCTCTCAGCGAGCGCAAGTGGCCGAGAAAATTAGAGATAACGCGATATAGGAAAGATATTTGCTCTGTACTGCTTGATAATTTTCTAACTATTAGACATTAGAAGGCGACTTTGTACAAAAATCGTTTGCTTGGCCACCTCTGTCCCACTCGTGTTTCTACCGTGACGCATTTGTGTTTGCATGGCTGTGTTTCAGTTTGAAGGATGGGATATGGTGTGAATTTACTGGGTACAGAGGAATAACACCTGAGTCCTCAGGAATGGCAACGCATGGGAGGTATCATGGGCGAAACAGTATACTCTGTTATGTCCATGGTACTACTCATGGTGTATAGGCGACGGTTACCACTTTCCATCAGGTGGGCCGTCAGCTTGTTTGCCATTCTAAGTTGTATAAAAAAAATGAAGTTTCTACCAACCGGCGTGATATATCTAAATATATTAAATACTTTTAGACATCGTTGATGCACTATTCATAGAAAGAACTCTTTAAGGTATTTTTTAAGACATATGCTGACCTACTATCACTCCTTTCTTTACAAAATAAAACAAAAATAAAAAAAAAACATTAAATATCACTTAATTCATGTTGACTTTTTAGCTTCGGAACAGTCCTAACTCGCCGACAGAAGCGAGGGACGCGGCGCGTTCACAAATTCGTATTTATGTTAGTTTTCATTCGATTACTGCTCACTCCGCGACTCGGCCGCCGTAATGATACGCAATCGGATAAGTGCTTTTTGTTAAATGACTCGAATAATTGAATTATAAAACTATAGTAGGCCATGTTGTTAACAGTCTGTAACCATAGTTTTCCATACAACATAAAATGGCAAATAAGTATAAATGAAAAACTTTAAAACCGGTAAGTTAAGATGTTAAATCCCTTTATTTATTCCCTTAATATCACTGCCATATCCCACTCTTCAACACAACCATGCAAGCTTCATTATAAAAACATAATAAAGTACCCAAGTACATGATTAAAAAAAAGTCTCTGCATAATGTCTACCCAAAGGATTAGGCGAATTAAGAGCTATTCTTTGTTTTTTTTTTTAAGTTGATTAAAAAGTTACACTACAAAAAAACAGATTCCTACAAAAACATAAAACGTAAATGCTGAGTCTCGCAACGTAGTCGCTTCGCTACAATAATTAAATTGTTTCACAAAAAAAGAAACAACTTCAACTGTGTCAAAATAAGTTATCCTGATTTAAAAACTAATCTACTGAACCGATTTTGATGAAATTTCTATAGGATCCATCTGTAAGTATATCCTTTTAGATAAAAAAAATAATTTCCCAAATCGGTTTACAACTGACGGAGTTAAGAGGTGACAAACTTAAAAAAAAAATACAATCCAATTGATAACCTTTTATATGAAGTTAAGTTAATTATTTTAGTGTCTATGGAGACACCAGCGGGTCTACCATGAAATGAAATTCCGAAATTTCGGACTCAATTTCGTGTTTTTTTTTATACCAAAATCGGACCAATAAATGGAGTTTAACATTTCGTTCGTCATACATCCTATCATAAAAGTCCAAAGGAACAATATTTTAACATTTTTAATATTTCCAAACGGCATGTATTATTGTAATTTTAATATCAAATTTCGGGGGGAAAGGGATTGTTAGTAATGGAGACTGAGAATCCCATTGCTAGCAATGTACCCAACCAGGTCGACCTCCTCGCGGTTCCCCCTGGAAACTATCATGATTAATTCCTGATGAATTCATCATGATGGGCTAACTGGCCTGTTTTCATTCTCATCTATCACCCTTCACTGGTGCTCCGCCGGCGTATCCCGTTAGCGCGGGCGGGGTTACCATTCCATTTTCACCCATCAAAAAAAAAAACATAAAATTTCTGTTTCGTTTGGCTCCGAAATTTCGGAAAACATTTCATGGTAGGCCCTCTGTTCAACAACTTTGTTCTAAATTGTAATGTAATCAATTAGATGGATAGGTAGATAATTTATTTGCATTACTTACTTACAGCACACAAATTACAACATATATATAAATGTACATAAAAAGCGAGATAAGAGAAATGATTAAAAAAATAAATCCAAGTACAATTTTTTCTTTTGTGCATGTGCCATAACAATACAAAATGGTCACAACTCAGTTTATTGCTTCACACTCAAAAGAGCAAAGCACTGATATTCTGTTGCGGCCAAAGGGAATAGGGTAACAATGAAATAATACTACCAGATTATCCATACAGTAAACAGACAGATATGACAGTCTATCTAGCAGACAAATGGAACGTAGAGGTAACTTGCTGGAATACGAGTATGTAACTTTTGCCTCTCAATTAAATTTCTTTTTTTAAATTAATTTTGAAACTGGACTTGGTGTTTAATTTATTTACCTATCAACATTTACAGTTACCGTAGCAATTAGACTTTCTTATTTCTATTATAATTATAATAAATTGGCAATTACCTGGCAACATATTCTATTATTACATTCCACAAGGATTGCTTAGTCTGTCATGGGAAAAGATTCTTGAATTACTAAGAGCTTGATTACACAGTGGTCAAACATCTTTACTAGAGGGAGACTGTACAAAAGTCGTTTGCTTGACCACCTCTGTCCCATTCGTGTTTCAACCGTGAAGTTATGTTTGCATGGCTATGTTTCGGTTTGATATGGCGTGAATTTACAGGGTACAGAGGAATAACACCTGAGTCCTCAGGAATGGCAACGAATGGGGGTATCATGGGCGAAACAGTATACTCTGTTATGTCCATGGTACTGCTCATGTCTATAGGCGACAGTTACCACTTTGCCGTTCTAAGTTGTACAAAAAAAAAAGCCATGGTTTATTTCTATGTTTATGATGCAATAAAGAGTCAAATAAATTAACAAATAAAATATGAAATGTGAAATTTCGACTTGGTTGCAATTTTATTACATGTAAATAGGTATAGTCCACAATAAATCAAAGCGCACTTGTCCACCCCTAGCATCAGGGTTGCCGGCTCATTGAACACCCCTTATTTTACATACCGAGTGAGTTTAGGAGATTTCTTCATGTCGGCAACGAGGTGAGCGTATCTATGTTTTATTTATTTATTCACTTTATA